ATGATTGTTCTGGTTATCTAGTGCTGCTGTGACAAAAATATACCACAAATGGGATGGCCTTAACAAACAGGAGTTTATTCTTACAATTAAATTGGCTTTAAGTCCAAGTTCAAAGTGCCAGGCTCTAGGGGCTGGGTGAAAGCCCCTCAGCCTTGGGCTTCAGCTCTGCTTCCAGCTCCCAGCCCACTGAAGCTAAAGGCTTTTCGTCACTCAGACAGCTGCTGGCTGCTGAGGCTGCCAAGCCCAAGGTTGACAAGTAACAAGACACAGTCCCGATATTACCAAATCACATGGCAGGCCATTAATTCAAGTCCATTGTAAGTCCCAAGGTCAGCAGAGCATGGCAGTTTAGCATGGCTGCTAAACAATGACACGGCTACATGCAGGGTCCAAGGTGCCATAAGCTAGAGACCAGTTCCAAAGCTGTTCCTTATATATGGGAAGCAGACCACATCCCTAGGGCAGCTACTCAGCTGCTCACAGTAGGTTCCACCATGGAGTTGCAGTCTCATCATGGGGAATACTACATCCAGCTGCCTAGCCATTCAACCAGGCCTCGCCAAGTTGACACACAAACTCAACTACCACAGTGATATTTTCATAATTTGGATTTTCTAACCCTAGATTTCAAAAGTACAAGTCCAGCTCTTGATCAATGGGGGAAAAGCTTAGTTCTTATTTTAATTCTTAAAGAAAAGACCAAACACATCTTGGTTTAATTAAAATAGAAACAAGGGCCTAAAAGCCTTGACTATGTGAAAGAAATCTTCCTCAGATTAAATTTTTTTCAGTTTGATGGAAAATATGAAGATGCCATACAGAACTGACAGAAACAAGTGATGGCATTGAGTGGGATTACCAATCTGAAAAAAAAAAAATTGTTCTTTGAGCTTGATAATTACAAACCATCAGACTTTGAAATACTGTCATGGCTGCCTCAAGGGAACCAATCAGTGAACTGTCACTGGGCTAGTATAGGAATTTAATTGCTGGTATATGTGAGGAAAGATATAAAGATGAATTAGAAAAATGAAGACATATGTAACATCATCACACACACTAATTTCCCCTGAGTTCCAACCATGGGGAGAAGTAAGTCCCTGTGGTCTATATACATATATACCCTGAGTCACACTGGGTGCCTGAGGGACATTTCTATCTGTGAAAATGTTAGCTTCCCTGCCAGAGAGACTTGGAACATGAGAAAGAGCTTTATAAATAACAGGCCATTTGAATAATAAAGTGAAAGTTAAAGAGATAATGTCATTTCCTACTACTCCTGGCCAACAACTCAGTCCAATATTACAAGGATTCAATAGCCCTTGAGTTTTAACAAATCTCCAGGATTTAGAACCAACATTAAGAAAAAAATCATACAAAAATATCTGCAGGAATTCTTTCAACTTTACTTGAAACACAGGGAAAAGAGATTTCACTTCTGGATTTTTTTTTTTTTTTAAGTGTCAACCAACATCAAGAAATCAGAGAGTAACTTGATCTTATAAAAAGTTGAAAAAAAATAACCTTACTAAGGTCACTTAGGAGGTTTGGTGGCACTTTTGGTTCGGCATTGGCTGCGAACGAGAAGGTTATAGGTTCAAACCTGACAGCTGCTCTGCAGGAGGAAGATGAGCCAATCTACTTCTCTAAAGATTTACAGTCTTGGAAACTCAATGGGGAGTCACTATGAGTCAGAATCGACTCAATAGCAGTGGTTTTTTCTGTTTAAAGAGTAGAATCACTTGATAATCACTTCATTCTTTCATCCTTCATTTTCTTTTTTTTTTTTTCTTCTTTCACTCCTTTCCTCTTGTAACATGAACTTCCATAATCTCTGCCCTCAAGGTTATTTATCTGTCTCTGGGTCTATCAAACGTAATAGTCAGACCTATTCTGGATTCCAACTCATTTATTAGGCAAAAAAGCATAAGAAAAAAATTTAGTATCACTCTGAAATTTATTTCCCAAATATCTGAAATGTGGGGTGATACTATTTTCCCTGTTTATGCCAAAGTATACCTAAAAATCACACACATACACACAAAAAAATTGAAATAGTAATACACAAGTCAATGTTTCAGAAGTAAATAGTTAAATTATAAATCTCATGTTATTTTATGTTATATACATTTTGGATAAATTTAGTAAATATTTTCTAACACTCCCTTTATTTTCAATTAATTAATAGAGAATTTTCAATAGCAGGACTACTTACATTTATCTACAAAATGACCTATTTTCCCTAGAAATTTTCTCTATATAACTCCCTTTTCTCCATTGACTATCTGAACTTTTCATATAAATTTTATATTACCTCAGTTAGGATAAACTGTGCAACTTTTTTATCCTTGTCTATTCAACAAAAGTGTGTCTATTGTGCAGGATGAAGGGTCTTTTAAAAGAAATTACTGTGGATGGCCTACTTACTTTCAAGTTATAAGAGTTATAAAGATTATGGGTAAATCATTGCATATTTCATTTCTTTCCTTATTTTCTAACCAGCACTCCTCCAGAATATACACCACTCTCATGGCAGGGCCTTTTTATAAGTCAGAAGTGCACTCAGTTAGCATGATCTGTACCATTGGCCTCTGTAGGCCCAGAGCTATGCTTTCTGTTCCATTCTCGTTATTTTTAACAAGAAGTCGGGACAGTATTTGTCCATGGGGCCATACATATGCCCCTTTATTTTAGGTACATTACACTGTTCACTTAAGGTTTATTACACATTGTAAAGCAGAAAGGTATTTTAGAGCATTTCTGTTTCTAAGCCTCATGCAAGGAGATAGTGAGCCTATCTTTTTGTCATTTGCTAAAAGTCAAATGAAAATATGTTTTAACAAAGCTAAAAGTATGCCAGTATGTTTATTTGATTTTGTTAAGCTTTCAAGACAAGTCAGAAATTTCCTGGAAATTCATTAAGCTTATCTAAGGGAAACCCGACAAATTTACTCCTTCAGTGATGCCCTTTCAAAAGCACGTATGTCAAGATGGTTGGGAGGAGAGGACCTATTACTAATACTTAAATTAGAGATATTACTATTAGGTAAAGGTATTACCTAATTTAAATTACTAATTGTTCAGATGGAACCAATCCCTGAAGAAGGATATCACACTTGGTAAAGTGGAGGGTCAGCGAAAAAGGGGAAGACGCTCAACAAGATGGATCGACACAGTGGCTGCAACGATGGGCTCAAGCAGAGCAACAATTGTGAGGATTGCACAGGGCCAGACAACGTTTCATTCTGTTGTATATGGGGTAACTATGAGTTGGAACCAACTCAATGGCACCTAACAAGAACAATTTAAACTTGGTAAGGTCTCATTTTTATTTTACCTGTTAATTTTTATTTTCCAAAAAAAAAAAATGTTTTGCTTTCTTTAGGTTGTGCTGTCTAATATAACAGCCACTAGTAACATGTGAAGGAGCCCTTGTGGTGCAATAGCTAAGTTCTCAGCTGCTAACTGAAAGTTTAGAGGTTCAAGCCCACCCAGCGGCTTCATGGGAAAAAAAATCTGGCAATCTGCTCCTGTAAAGATCACAGCCTAGGAAACCCTGTGGTGAAGTTCTACTGTCATTTGAGTTGCTATAAGTAGGAATCGACCTGACAGCACACAACAACCACATGTGGTGATCAAAATTATAAAATAAAAATATCAGGTCCTTAGTGGTCACAAAACTGAGATCAATATCATCTGACCCTTGCATATTTTCTTTTTTTCCATTTCATCAAACAAGGTGGTATCAATCCATGGACTATAAGTGAATTTGCTCATTTATAAACAAACTATTCCTTCTCTTTCTGTTTCCATTTATACTCACAAACAGGTGTGCATTTCACTTAAATTAGTGTAAGAGATACAATGCCTTCAATTCCTGGATGTATTTATAAACAAATATATCTTCACAACAAACACACATCAGTTGAGCAGTTTTCCAATATTACAGATCCTCCTTGTCAAAACTTTCAGATGACATATTTCAGACTAATGTATTGATATGTTTAAATATTTTTTAACATTGGTCATTATGTCAGTCATACCATGGTAGTCAATCAGAAAATATTTGTACGTGTGTGAAAATCCACCTGGGTATATCTATATTAAATCTACATATTTGTTTTCTTAAGTATTTTCCAAGATTACTCAAGTGTGTTGCGTTAGTTTGTGTGCCCAAATCTGAGTTTCCTACTACTCTACATGCCAAGTAGGTAATTAAGAAGAATACCAAATATTCTATCTATTCTTCCCTCTGCCATTCCCACCTCAAGACCCAAATCAAGTCAGAATACACTCTTGAAATTCTATATTTTTAGCTAAAAGGATCACTTACCATTTACTATAAATAGTTACAATTTTTTCAAAGAATGTATCAAAATGAACATATTTAGCACTATCAGCACATTGGCCAAAATTTAATTTCACTTTGATGATTAAGAAGGCACTTAAAGATCTTACCTTGGCTTGAAACTGTCATGATAAATGTCATTATTATATAAATGTGCAAGAATGCTAGTAATAAGTGTTTGAATCACCCCCATAAAAAAAAAATCTGGCATCTTTTCAAATGGAAGACAAAAGTTTTTTGTTTAGCATTTTTTTTTAATCTAAAATAACCACTTAGAAAAATTGATTCAAAGGTTTGTGTATTCATTCTTAACATTCAGATTTGCATGTTTAGGTCAAGTTTGTTGAAGAATCATGACTAGGCAAGTTAAGACTAAGATATTGAGCAAGCTATTGATTTGTAAGTTGTAGTGCTGAGCAATTTGTCTTACCCCTATAATAGATTGTTAAGGGAAACACAGACAACTGTATAAAATAAATATTTATAAACCCTATGCTATTGCAAACATTTTGTTAATCAATATTTTTCAAAAACTTTGGTTGAACTTAGAAAAATTGGAATGGTTTACTCAGTGTTTGAAGTACACTTACACTCAATTTTACTTTGTCCTTAGAAAATGAGATGTCTTCAATAAAGAGTTTTAAATACTCACCTTAATTAGTTGGTAGTTTTGAACTCCATTTATTCCTATGTCAGGATCAATGGCAGCTGGAAGAGCGTATCTTGAGTTTATAGCTGAGTTCTCTGGAATTGATATGTTGATAACCGTTGCTGGGAATAATGGTGCATTGTCATTTATGTCTTCTATCAGAAAACGTATCTTAACCAGTCTAAATATTTCATCTGGCAAAACGGCAACCTCCACTTCATAAAAGCAACGGGATTCTACCAAGATACCAGCACATAACTTCTCACGATCAATGCGAGCGCCGGTAGTGTAGATCTCACCAGTACCCTCTTCGATCCGAATCAGTGGCACATCCCCAGTCTTGTACACTAGCTTAAACTGCATGGGAGAAGTCAAGGACTTGTCTGGAATCAGCGACAAGTTGAGGTCTTTCAACAAGTCGCCTATCAGGACGTTTTCTGGCATTTCTTCTCGAACGGTGTAGTTCTTCTCCTGGGCGCCAGACTGGAACACGACGCATGCTAACAGGACCGCAAATATATACGTCCCGGACAACAAGTCCATACCAGGCACAATTGTGACGGTTCTCTGTATCAACCCACAGAAAACTGACAAAGAGAAAAGGAAGAGATAAAAAAAAAAAGAGAGAGAGAGAAGGAGGAGGACATAAAGGATGAGAAGAGGAAGGGACAGGGGAAGGGGGAGGGAAAAAAGAACGGAAAGAAAAAGAATTAGTTAACAAAATGCTCAGTTTTAAATTAAAATCATTAAACGCAATATCATTATAACCACCAATGTTAAATAAACTCATGACACCTTTGTGCCTTTGTGTTGAATCTAATATTATACACTTTTATATTCAGATTAAATGTAATTTAAGACAGAATTTCAAAAGTGTCCACCATTAATGAAATATATATCTTAAAATACCAAGATAGTTAAAGGTTATAAAAGTAGTTCAAGATATTTAAAATTCAATAGCTAAGGAAAAATAAAGAGGTATTTGTTAATAATCTCAAAATACAATCATTATTCTTTGCTATAAAATGGATCTTGATTCAATTCTTCTATTGGTAATGAATGTCTTGTTCAATATTCATATGTTCAGTTCTGGGCATCAAAATGTAAATACAATCTAGATAAAGGAGACTCAAAGCTATGACATATGAGGGACTTCAAACATTTGGGTTGGAGAGCAAAAGGGGTGATGTGAAAATGCCAAAACATGAAAAAGACTACCATGTGGAAAAGGCATTAAAGATTTTTCTCCTTTTTTTTTTTTTTGGATAAGTGAAGCAAGAATAGATATAAATTTCTGGGAAATAACTTTCAGATCAACAAGAACTATCTATTAAAGCATTCTGGAAAAAAAGAATTAAGGAATTGCAAAGGCCAAATCTTTGGGGTGATTGTTATGTAAGTTGGACCACCAGTTTGGATACAGGATTTGATAAAAGACATTCAAACATTCAATGGAAGAGATGGCCTAGAAGACATCCTAAATCTGAAAATCTATGCTTATAAATTGCAGAATGAAGCACATATAAAAATGAGTTTCACATCCATGAACTGACACACGACTACAAAGAACAGCTTGACTAGGGTTTTAAAATAAGAAACACATTTAACAACACTCGAGTTAAAACAGTGAGTCAAAAACAAGCAAGCAATCTTTTTGGAATTTGTTTTTTTTCCCTCACTGATTATTTTTCACTCACTGAAAATCTCCCAAAGTTTTTTGGTTCTCTAATTCGGATAAAAAAGAATAATTCTGAGTTCCTTAGAACTTGTAAAATCTTTCATTTCCTTTCTTAACTCTCAATTCCTGTTCTCAAGTTGATGTATTAAATATTTTTAAATTCTAGTATCATGAAACACTTTAGTGTACTTCTGGATTTTACTTGCAGGCAATACACTGTACAAACACAAAATGAAACTTGTATCATGCTGCACTAAATCCTACCAGATGTTGTATTTTTGTAATTAAGTAGTGGTTAATGTAGCTATCAAGGCTTTCAGCAGTTTTAAAAGATCAGTTAACAGATGGTCATTTAAAAGGACATTACGAAAAAATATTAATGCATGTATCTAACTAAGGAAATGCTCAGTATTTATTGGTAATCTGTAACATTAACAATGTTTTAGTGATGATTCCAAATACAGGAGGACTTAGGACATGATGAAAGTAATTTGGTGTGTATATTATGCTGTAATGATACTAATATATCAAAGAATTGTCCCACTGCATAACTGCACATTTGCTTTATTTTTTTACATAAATACACACACATTGTGTTGCTGTTGTTAGTTGATGTTGAGTCAGCTCTGACTCATGATGACCCCATGTATGCCAATAAAACTACTCCATAGAGTTCTCAAGGCTGTAAGCTTTCAGAAGCAGTTCAACAGGCCTGTCTTCTGAGATCCCTCTGGGTAAGTTGGAACTGCCACCCTTTTAGCTAGTAGTAGAGCACTTAAATGTTAGTGTCATCCACATGCACATATTGTTGTTGTTAAGTGCCTTCAAGTTGAACCAAAGTTATAGCGACCCCTCCTTGGGTTTCTGA